CATAGTTAAAAAAAATAATTTCAATATGTTAGTGAGTGCTTTTATGAAGGTTACATGACAGTCATGGTGGCTCCTAAGCCCAAATACCGAAAAGAACCCATCATTCTATACTTGGAACAAGTTACAGGTGTGTAACTATAAGGGAATTGAAGGCATAAGCACAAATTTGAAAAGTAGATTCAAAAGCACGTGCTAAAGATAGGAGTTTGCGAACTGAGACCTGGAATCACAGAATCTCTCAAAGCTAGTCAATTCTTCTTTTTAAAAAAGAACAAGTTCCTCTCTGCACAATGTTCTCCTTAGAGTTTACGTGGTGCTTTCACATGTCAGCTCACATGTGCTTCACAAAAAAAACCCTGGAAGGCAGACACAGTGGACATTATGATCTCCGTATGGCCAATGAGGAAACTGAGTCTCAAAGACCCAAGATGCAGTAAATGGGGACAGCAAGACTGGAACCCAGGATCCCGCCTCCCAGGCCAAAACTCATCCTCCTCATTTCAAGTGATTGTAAATTTCAATTGATTTATAATGGCAGAACATGCACAAAGTGCTCCATGCTCACAGAAGAGGGGCAGGCTAGAGGGAGGAGGGGCCTCAAAGGATGCATAGGAGTCTACCAAGTAGGGGAGAGGAAGGACACTCTCAGCAAAAGATAGAAAAAGCAAAAGCACAGAGAAATACAAGTGTATTTATTCAAGAAATGGCAAGCAGCTCAGTGTAGCTGGGACCGACAGTGTAAGCTGGGAGAGAAAAACTAATAATGAGGATAGAAAAGTAAGCAGGGAATTGTACAATGCTTCTGGAGGTCGATCACTAGAAAAACTACTCTATGACCCAGTGATCCTGCATCTGGAAGTAGATCCATGGCTATTCCCACACATGCACGAAATGACTTATGTGCAACGTTCTCTGTGGCTTTCCTTCCTAGACTAGTGTCCACCAGTAGCAGACTGATAAGTGAATTACGGAATATCTCCACAATGAACTACTATCAGCTGTAAAACTTACAATCTCTATGTACAGATATAGAAAATCTTTACAAAGTGTTATTAAACCAGAAAAGCAAATTGCAGACTTTTTCTGTAAGTTTGAAATTATATATTTAAAACTCAAGTTTTGGAATAGTGTATATATATAATGTGCTACTTTAATGAAAAAAAAAGAAAAGAAGGCTAAGTATTTGTATTTATTTGCATGAAACACTGAGAGGATGTGCAAGAAATTATTAGAATGGGTTACATAAGATGAGAGTCAGAGTGGTTAGGAATAGGGGGGAGTAAGGTTTCTCACTGTAAACCATTTTAGTATCTTTTTAGTATCACTTACTCTTTGAACCACCACAGTATATTACCTATTCAAAATGTAAAATTAATTAGAAAGTATCTTCACCCAAATTAGTTGAAAATTTGTGTCCATATAAAAACCTGCACACAAATGTTTATAGCAACTTTATTCTTAACTGCCAAAACTTGGATGCCACCAACATGTCCTTCAATAGGCGGATGGCAAAATAAACTATGGTACATCCAGAAAATGGAATTATTATCTAACGCTTAAAGAAAATGTAATATCAAGCCTGGAAAAGACACAAAGGAACCTGAAATGCATCTTACTAAATGGAAGAAGCCAATTTGAAAAAGCTGCGTACTCTGTGATTCCAACGACATGACATTCTAGGAAAGACAAAACTACAGAGAGAGCGAAAAGATGAGTGGTTGCCAGGGCTTAGGGGAAAGAGAGCTAAACAGGCGGAGCACAGGGGATTTTTAGGGCAGTGAAACTACTCCGTATGATACTGTCATGGTGGACACATGTCATTATGCATTTGCCCACACCCGTCAGATGTGCAACACCAAGAGTGAGCCCTAATGTAAACCATGGGCTTTAGCGGGTAAGAAGGTGTCGATACCGGCTCGCCAGTTATAACCAAAGTTCTGCACGAACGCATGATGTTCACAAGAAGGGAAACGGGGGGGCGGGGGTGGGGGTGGTAACGGGTTATATTTAGGAATTCTTGTACTTTCTGTTCATTTTTCTGTAAACCTAAAACTGCTCTAAAAAATAAAATCTATTAATGTGAAAGAGAAAAGAAAGGAAAAGTGAGCAGAGTGCCTGTTGGGAAGAGCTGTGAATGGCATACAAAGCAGCCTGGATTTGCATTCTATAAACACAACCCAACGTTTTTGAACATGTGACAGAGCTGTGTTTCAGAGGGGAAAAAATCTGGTGACCGCAGGGATGAGAATCCAGGAGAGAGAGAGACTGGGGCACCAATAAGCTGATTATGGAAGGGAGAAGGGGGTGGGATGCATGAGATGGGGGCAGCGGGAGGAGGTGGGGGCGGACACAGGAGAAGCAGCAGCAGGACTCAGTGACGGCTGTCCCCGGGGATGTCCCCAGGGCATAAAGGGATGCGTGGGAAAACGAGGGTCGATGTTTCTTTTGGTTTCTAGATTAAACTATGTGGCAGACGAGGATGCTATTAGAGGAAAAGGAGCAAACGAGATGGGAAAAATGAATCAGGCTTCTGACCTGTGAGGTTATTTTACTTGCAGAATGTGAACGTGGAAATGTACAGGGCAGCTCAAAACACAGATACGCAACCCAGAAAAGAGGTCAGGGCTGCCTGAGAGGCGAATTCTGGTATGGATCAAGCTGCACTTATGCAGGGGAGATATCTCGACCTACAGCGTATTTGAGTAATAATACACCATGAGTTAATTAGTAAAAAGAATCTATTCTATTCCCTGAAACAATTGTGACCATGAGACTAAAATATTAATTTCTTTAGCCTACGCTCCAAAAAAGAAATCAGATTTTTTCTAACGTATTTATTTCAGACATAGTAGATCCCCTTACCTGTGGGGGAGACATTCCAAGACCCCCAAGTGGAATCCTAAAACCGCAAATAGTACCAAACCCTATATATATATCTTGTTTTTTTCCTATACATAACAGACCTATGATAAAGTTTAATTTATAAATTAGGCACAGTAAAAGATGAACGATAACTAATAATAAAATAGAACGATTATAACAATATATTATAATGAAAGTCACGTGAATGCGGTCTCTCTCTCTCTCTCCAAGTATCTTAATTGTATTGTCACCCTTATGCTGATGATGTGAGATGATAATAAAAAACTTTATTGAGTCAAGAACTTGCACCGTTTCACCTAAAGGAAGCACATTTTGCGACTTCTCTTGGACATGTCTGCATTGCCAGCATCACTACTCTTGTGCTTTGGGGCCACTGTTAAGTGAAATACAGGTGACCTGAAGACAAGCACTGCAACACCACAGCCGCCGAGGTGGCTACTGAGTGGCTGAAAAGACTTTTAACAAAATTCAACACTTATTCCGTAGGGCTTTCTTTTAAAGCATTCAAAATAGAAATCGATGTGTACCTTTCAACATGAGAAAGTTACATAGATCTCAGTCCCAAAGCCAGCACGTTAATGGGGAAGCACAAGAGGCTGCCTCATTCAGTTCAGGAACAGAGACAAAGAGACCCATATCTCTACTTGTGTTAACACTGAATCCCAGCTAGAACCCAATTAGAAAAGAAAATAATTAGAAGTGTTAAAATAATCAATCTTTATTTGTAGGCGTTATAACACTATAACTGGAAAACCCAAAAGCATCAAGGATATGGGTTGACACACCAATAAAATAATTGTAGTAAAATCGTGGAATATAAAATTAACATAAAATAGTTGTCATGAAAGTCTGACGACACACTGGGAATATGGAGAAACGGGCATTGTCACACATTGCTGGTGCACATACAACGTCACACAATGCAAAATATACCACCTACAGAAGGAAATGTGATAATATCTAACAAAATTACATACTCATTTACCTGGTGACCCAGCAATCCCATTTCTAGGCACCGATCCTCCCAAACATACTAACAAAAACTTTTTATTCAAGCACTCAAAATAGAAATTGACGGATAATTTTTTTAATATAAAAATATATAAACCAAGGCCAGACACTGTGGCAGATGCACAAGATTGTCATTCGCTTCAGCACAATTTGCAATAGAGAAAGAGTAGAAAACAACCCAAATGTCCAGCAGTATGGGACTGACCGAACTACGATACACCCATAGACTGGAACACCATGCAGCTCTTGACGAGGAATGACGAACATCTCTACATACCACATGGCGTGGTCTCCGAGATATGCTTCTAGTTGAAAACACCAAAAAGTATATATGGCATGCTATTATTCATCTGAGAAAGGAAGAAAGGGCTTGGGATGAATATGCACATGCGTGTGTGTGTGCGTGTGTGTGTGTAGTTTATTACATATCTATATAATGTTTAATGGAAGAATAAACCAAAAAACTTCCCAAGCATAGTTACCTATAGGAAAAAAAGGCAATGGAGTAGAGGAGACAAAAATAAAAGCGAGGCATCTACAAATACACAGGCATCGTCTGTTTCATTACCCTTCACTCTATTGTGCTTCACAGATATCGTGGGGGGCGTTTTCCAATTACAGTTGACATTCAATATCATATTAGTTTCAGGTGCACAACAGTGATTAGACATTTATATAGCTTACAAAGTGATCACCCCAATCAGTTCTAGTACCCAACAGATGTTGAGTTTTTTACAAATTGAAGGCAAGACCCTTCACCATCAAAAAGATTACGACTTGCTTTCTTATATCTCTGCTTTATTGCACTGGTCTGGAACTGAATCTCCGATGTCTCCAAGGTACGCCTGTACTTTGTTTTGTAGATCTGACTTGGGACCAGACAAATATTGTACTTTATAAAATAAGGGCCACGGCAACAAACACAGAATTCTCTATGTGACTCTGTGTTTAAGGCTACGAGCGAACCTAATGAAAATGGGAATCAACAGGGTCGACATGACAGCTCTGACGAGTGAGCAGGCTTCCACGAAAGAAGTTAAGGGATGCTGGGCAAAGCCAAGGAAACAGAATAACTGTTAATCGAGCGATTGTAATGCATCACTTACCTCCACCTTGCTCTCGGGTTCGTGATTGGCCGCCGAGAAATACACAACCTCCTGCACTTCATCCCTGGGCCGAGCTGAATTTTTCCCAAACACCACCAGACCGTCCTTAGCACGCGGCGGGAAGGCCACCAAACAGCAACTTGGAGGAGCCACAGGCATCCTGCAAAGGGAGAGATCGCCAGACAGGGAATGGAAGCAGGCCTAACGTGGAACATTCCAACAGTGAATTCGTCAAACATATTTCACCAACTAAAATAGTTTTAGTATTGAACTGTGTGCAGCCAGCTCATTAAGAGATCCCAGCTGGCAAATGAAGGTGGGGCACCTGGAGTAGAATTACAGCGCCCCCGAGACCAGATACTGTTTAGTATTCCGTGGGATTAAACAAGGTCGGATTTGCAACAAACTGCGTGGCAGCCAAAAGTGCAATCGATGATGGAGGAGAAGGGAAAGCAGGTTATTGTTCCCAGCAGGAAACACACGCACACTGCAATCTGTCACCGTAATAGAAAAATAAATACGTATACCTTGTAACCGTGCCCTACAGAAGTGCCTCAGAGATGCATGGCCGCCATATAACAGATTTGGGGGCGGTGATGGAACTGGGTCTAGATTTAAATGGAAAGATACTCCCTCTGTTATGTATATATTTTTACTCTACCTCAAAAACACAACACTCAAGCATCTTTCGGTTTCCCTCCCACCGCTCCAGCTGCTCCTGGTCTACTTGGCCATTGAGCATCCTCACTGCTTGCTCCTTCTTTCCTCAGTTAATGCCCTTTTCTCTCTGGGAAAATTCATCCACAGCCAGAGCCTCCCTTGTCACTTAAGTGCCAATGACCTACACATTGAGCTCTGAACCCGTAGACCCAACTGCTTACCAGATATCCAACATTGATTTCATCATCTTCTTCCCCAAACTTGGTCCCTTTCCAGGGTTCCCTATCCCAGCGGCCAGCTCCACCGCCTGTCCCACTGGAGCATCCAGAACTCAGGAACTATCCTTACCATCTGCTTCTCCATTATCTAACATATTACCAATCCAGTAGGTTGGATCTCCCAAATCTGTATGGAAACTATCTACTTCTCTCCACCTCTACTACCACCACCCTTCCCCAAGCACCATCATCTCTAGGCTGGACCACTGCAGCAGCATCCTAAAAGATTAGTCCCTAACAGCTAGTATTCCCCCTCCAAAACACTGTCCACACTGAAGCAAAAGGGATCGCTTTAAAAGGAAGATTTTTTTTTTTCATGTAATTCCTGCTTAAAATCCTTTACAGGCTTCCCATAGCTCTTAGAACAAAGACTAAATTCTGATCAAGCTCATGCCCCTTCCCCAGCCTCATCTGCCACTCGTACCTCCACTCTCCCAGATCCAGTGCACAGGCCTTTCCAGTTCCTCCAGGACTCCCAGGGCCTTCGCACAGGCTGAGCTCTCTTTCTTGATATTCCTGTCCCTGCTCGCTATACCAAAACCATCTGCCTAGTTAACTCCTGCTCCTTCGTGGACCAGCTCAAATGCCACCTAAATTTATGTCACCGTACTATATAAACAATCAAATCTGAAATATCTGTGTGATTATTTGATTACCAACAATCAATACTAAAGTCTAAGCAATATGAAGGCAGGGACATTACAAAAGTGCTGGTGTCTCATCTGTGAGCAGACCCTGACTTTATTTGATCTTTAAAAATACTAGGAACCCACTGGTCTTGCATTTATGAGATGTATCTATAGAAAATAAATGAAACCCACGGGGTTTTTGTTAAGAACCTCTTCTTCCGCCTGGACATTTGCTTGGTCAGCAAATCTGGGTCGGCTGACCATGGTGAGGCCCAGGGGGATGTGGCTCAGAGAGGCTGGCTCTTCCGTGAATTCTGTGAATGACTGGGAATGCCGGAAGGGAGAATTTTTTTTCTTTTTTTACTGCTAGTTGAACCGGCAAACTGTGTATCGCAAGCAGCAGCAAACTAGCCGAGGCTAATTGTCCATTTATTTTTCCTGGACCACCATTCTACACACTGAAGCCTCAGAGATGAGTCAGCTGGATCGTTTTCTGCTCTCCAGACTAGTGCTGTCCAAAAGGGCTTTCTATAATGGTGGAACTGTTCTATCTCCACTGTCCAATATGGTGGTCACTAGCTTCATGAGGCTACTGAAATGTAGTAAGTGTGATTAAAGAACTGAATTTTTAATTTTATTACAAACTTTAAATTTAAATAGTCACACACGGGTAGTAGAAATCCCATTGCACAGAGCAGCATTACAATTTCCCAATAAACCCAGAAATGAAGATTTTTATATTATGGCTTCCAGTGATCCCGGAAGTACTTATTTGTGAAGTCCTCTGCTTAGTCTAACGACAAAACATGCTATCATCCATATAAACTGAATTAGCAAGGAGGAGGCAGGATGCTTCCAGAAGCCTGAAGAAAACAAGTATTAGGAAGCCACTAGTGAACTCGACAGGTAGACCGCGTTTAAGCAAGCCCTTCTCTCCAGAAGCTAAAGGTGACAGAGCTCTGCCCGCCGAGTCTATTTCCTTTGAAGCATATCTCATATTCCCAACTCTGAACATAGCGCGAAGGGGCCCTCACGGCCACCTGGGAGTCCCGCTGTGCTTCTCGGGTCAGTCCCTCTCTTTACCTCCTAAATGAGCTTTTGACACCTTCCCTTCTCTTCAAAGCTTAAACCACCTCCTCTAAGCAGTCAGTTATCTCACCCCCTGCTCCACAAAGGACAGATGCACAGGGAGGAAGACTGTTTCAGAGAGATGATAACGCAGGTTTGAAGGCCCTGTGGGGAGAGAAAGGGGGCGGAGCCACGGAAGGAAAAAGCCAGTGTGACTGAGGCCAGAGAGAGAGGGGGCAGAGGCTGGGGCCGGTCAGGAGGCAGGTCAGCAGGCCGGTCCGCATTGGGCCTTGAAGGCCAAGGCAAGGATTTTAGTGTCTAGCCCATAATAAACACTAAAGCCACTGAAAGTTTTTAAGCCCGTTTTATATTATAGGTGGAGCCAGTGCATATGGACAACTTTTCAAAGAAGTTGTGATGGTGGGAGACAGCTCATTAGGTGGAGATGAAGGGATTAACAAGTAATTTTATTCCTATGTTTCTACCCTAAGAAAATGGTGGGGAATATGGCAAGATTTATGCAGAAAAGTGTTCATCACAGAGATATTTATATAGGTGAAAAACTGACTAATACGTAATTGTCCTGCATCAGAAAAAATGGCTAAAATTTTATGATAGATTTATATGGTAGAATACTATAAAATCATTAAAAATATGTTTATAAAGAGTTTTTAATTGAATGAGAAAAATGGTTTGGAAAGAGAGTCCAAAATAAATTCTTACTATGTAAAAATATGCATAGAAAAAAACTAGAAGGAAATGTGCCCAAAATACTAATAGCGGTAACCTCACCATTGAATTCTTTGTTTTTTTCATATTTTCCTTTAATTTCCAATTTTCTTGTAAGTATTTATATGATCACGAAAATGATTTTTTTAAAGATAAACCCAGGGGACACTACCAATTTGGGGATTTTATTTTAAAGAAAAAAAAATTGGCTCTACTTCTATGTCCTGACAACATCTAAAATTTCAAAACTGGCAAACTCTTCTTATTTGAGGAATATTAATATTAAATAAGATGAAATTTTTTATTTAGTGTTATTATAGTTATTCTCTGATATCTTTTTTACTTTTTTTTTTGCAGTCTGCCTAATTCAGAGTTACTGAAGGTGTACACAAATTTTCATTACTATTATTCACACAAACAGTGGCCAGGACTCCTGCAATTATCTCCTTTACAGAAAAAGAAAAACTGGCCTATCAGGCAGCCAATTCTCTGCTGAGCCTCAGATAAAATCCTTCTGAAAGTGACTGAAGGAAACTCAATTTTGTTCCTATTATTTATCAAAATACTGGTTAACATACCAGTTTTTTAAACTAATATAACAAATTAACTCATCTATATACTTGTTTTTTGAAAATTTTATTTAGAGGATTTTTATAAACTTTACATTATTCGTGCATGACACAAGAAACACTTTAAGATGTTTCTCCTGTCCCCTTTATGACCTTATACAGCATTATCAGCTGTCATATTTTCCTCCACAAAGAAAAACAAACTAAAAGTCAATTAATTCCCAAGCACACATGCTAATGCAGAAATACACTGCTTAAAATTTTTTCATTTATATTTGGCTTTGAGAAACAGAGTATAACATTTGATAATGAATTTTTTTTTATCATAACTACACTTAAACCAACATTAAATCAGTGAACAGAGCTTATCCAGAAATAAATCCATGACTGATGGCTTTTTTTCAAAACTTGTTTGTTTTGAGGAATAATTCTGAAGCCATTTGCTGAGCTATGGGGACCCAGAATTGTGGGGGGTGAATGCGCAGTGTTACATGACAGGCCAGAAAAAGACCCCAGGTGTGTCTAAAGCAGTGTTTCCCAAACTACACATTGTGGCCTTTTCGTGGTTTATGAAATCAATTGAGTGGATAACATTTCAATGTAGTGGATAAGATCAGAATTTTTTTAAGAGAAGCATTTTTTTAGAAAAGAATATATATGCATCTCACATAGTACGGGTAAATGTTGGTACAAGAAACCTGAATTTTAAATTTGAGAATTCACATACACCCATATACATGTGTGTGTGTGTATGGGGTTGAAATACAACACTTCTCTCTGACTGTGGGTCTCAAGCAAAAATCTTTAAAAGCAGCAGGCTTAAAGGGTAGATCTATTGAATACGGCTTCTTTGTGCTAAATACCCATTAGGATTCTTGCCAGGTTAGCAATAAGCTAACGGTTCTAATGAATGAAACACTTTAACTTAACCCCAAAGTGGTTAAATGAACGGGCATGTCCTAATAAGCACTTGTTAAGATTATTTTAAAATACATTTATCTGTACGTTATGCTGAGTGGAATAAGCCAGTCACAAAAATGTGAATACTGTATAATTTCACTCATTTGAGGTTCCTACAGGAGTCAAACTCAGAGAGACAGAATGATGGTGACCGGGGGCTGGGGTGGGGGGCGAGGATAGGGGATGGGGAGTTGTTTGATGGGTATAGAACTTCAGTTTTGCAAGATGAAAAGTTCTGGGGATTGGTTGCACAACAATATAAATACA